GTTTTTTTTGGGGGGGGGTGTTTGTTTTTTAAATGTTTGAATGGAGGGTGGATTTGCTTTGCATCTGTGCATGTTCTGGGGTGTGAGCGGTTCAGCTGTAGCAGAACAATGGCCCGTTCTGCAGGGAATTATCTCATGCGGGCACCAAACCAAGAACCTTCCCAGTTACTTGAATGAAGACAGAAAGAACAGGGGCGTGGGTCAGGAGGGGAATTAAAACCACCTTTCCCTTTTCTGTCTGAAGCAGAGCCCATGCCGGCACTGGCTCTTCTAGGTATGTGGGTGCCCGCACTGTCCCCTCTTCCCTCCCCATCCACTGAACGTGCTGGTCCTGCCCATGGGGCCGGGGCTCTCGCGGAAGGACCAGCAGAGCTCCATACACACACAGGCCAGAGGTGCAGCTGGAGAGCGGGTGGAGGAGTTCCCTTGGAGTGAGCGGAGCTGTGTGCCTGGGAGTCTGGCCCAGACACTTGGGTAACACTTGGGAAGGACACAGCCGCCCAGGAGGTTGGTACGTGGTGAGACGAGGCAGGAGCTCTTACATGATGTTGCTTCCGGCAGGCTGGATTATTTAGTATCCCCTTTTAAAGCTATTTCTTTGCCCTTCACTTGCACCTTCTGCTCCAGGATCTCAAAGCAGATCCTGTCCCCCCTTCTCTCTGATAGACAGGGAAACAGAAGTGGGAATGTGACTTGGCCCACATCTCATAGGGAACTTGCAGCAGAGACAGGAATAGAGCCCAAGTCTCTTGACGCCCACTACTGTGCTTTAATCTCGGACCATTCCCCACCTCCCTCCTGTCTCTGAGTAGGTCCCCGTTAGTACACTGTGGGGAGCACTCACAAATCTGTGGGATCCCAGTGACAGCTATGCACCGTGCTCACCTGCTGGGCCAGCCACGAGCTCTCTGCCGGGCTGAGGCTGAGTCCCTGGGAACGATCGCACCATTCTGTTAGCAAGAATGCATCGCTGTCTTCCATCACTGGGATGCTGGGGCCGTGCACCCCAGGTACACCCCAGCTTCAGCCTGCGACCTTGCTTGTAATTAGCGGCCCCTAGTCAATGGGCGACTGCCCACGACTGGGGTCCCTTATCAAAGTTCTGAGCCTTGCTGTTGGAATACAAATGAGCCCAGTCCCTGAAGCTCCAGCTGCCCTTTCCATCTCTGCTAGATTCAACAAATGCACTTGTGTAGTTACTTTGCTGTTTGGGGGGCAGGAAAAAACTACCCCGTCTCAGCTCTCGTTAGCAAATGTATGGGAACAGCTCTCCTGACCAAGTCATTTGACCGGCAAGGCGAGTGGTTTCCGTTCGAGGGGCCTGCTTTAACAGCACCTTTCCAAGCCAGGGGCCACCTGGGCTGGCTCTCCAGTGCGGCACATGAGAGGCCAGGGAGGCCACAAGAATAGGACCATGGATCAGATACTGACATGCATTGGCTACGCGTTCTCTGCTGCCCACGCCAGGAGCGCTGCCATCCTGGGACCTCACAGGCTGCGGCTGCGTAAGGCAGCCCCAGTGCGTGAACTTCCAGGCTTTCTCATCTGCCTGAGAATCATACAATCTGCGTCCTGTGCTCGAAGCAGTAGGGCAAGTTCCTACTGTATGAACCTGCAGGGAGGCCTATATATCAATTTCTGCAAGCCCTGAATTCAGATGAGGGATGTCTTTGTCCAGGTGTTTATTCACCTTCTCACTGTCCCGCCGAGTGTGCCAACCTGTCCTTCCTGGGCTTGTGCCAGCTGCTTGGGGCAGTCCCTGGGGCTTGGGCTTCCTCTTTTTGAAGAAACAAACTTTCCTTTTGGCAGCTGGCACAAGATGCTACTAGGGGGTCCCAAGATGGGTGGATGTGGGAGCCCTTCTCCTACCTGGATTCAGGAAACAATCCTGTAGGCTGCTCCAGCCTGCGCTGGTATCAGGGACTGTCACGGTAGCTACTGTTGCTTTTTACAGATCCAGACTAACACGGCTACCCCTCTGATACTTTGAGAGTATCAAACAGAGACTGGGAATGGTTGGGTCATTACACTCATTGAATTTTTTTCCCCCATGTTAAGTTCTCCTCACACCTTCAATGGGTCATCTCGATTATCACTTCAAAGCTTTTTCTTCTGCTGCTACGGATAGCTCATCTCAATTGATTGGCCTCTTACAATTGGTATGCGTACTTCCACCTTTTCATGGTCTCTGTATGTATAAATATCTTCTGTCTGTGTGTTCCACTCTATGCATCTGAAGAAGTGGGCGGTAGCCCACGAAAGCTTATGCTGAAATAAATTTGTTAGTCTCTAAGGTGCCACAAGTACTCCTGTTCCCTCTGATACTGTAGCTACAGCGACAGGAGTGGGCAGGGGGTATATTCATAGGCGCTTGAAAACTTCCCTTTGGGTTTTCCTCGGCTGAGATGCATGAGAAACAAATGCTGGCCCTGCGGAAATGTGGCTGAGGGCAGAGGTGCTGCGGAAGCCAGTTCTGCCAGGAGCTCCGTGGAACTTCAGTAAATATTTACTGGAACAAGTATGTTACAAGTGACCCTTCCAAGCCGGAACAAACCCTGCTAACCTCGCAGGCCTCTCGCACGGCGCGGGACGAGTTGTTTAGAAATGTTGCTGAGGACGGGTGGGCTGGGGACCTGGGTTCGAGTCTGACTTGGGTCATGAGTAGGCATGAATGAGCCAGTTTGGAAACTACGAGCCCAGTCCTCAAATGTCTGGGGCAGCATCTAGACAGCGACTGGAAATGACAGAATACCCCAAGGGAGCCATTATTGGGAGATCCCCCCAGCCCAGCTCTGCAGATGCGAGACATTTGGAGAATTGAACGACCAAGCATTTGGGAGCTCATCTGGACCACGCCCAGCCTCTGAATCTTTGGGGGTTCAGCCGCTGCTGGTCTCAAGTGCTATGGGATTGTTTGTAATCCCTGGAGAACCACCCTCCCCAAGGCAGTCAGAGGGTGCCTAAACCAATCCCCCCTGGGGGGGTAGAGTGGGGGCAGGGCCTGGGGCAGAGCCGGGGGTCAAGCACCGCCCCCCCCCAGGCACATTGGAAAGTTGGTGCCTGTGCCCAGAGCCATGGTTTCCACAGGCCCTACCCTGCCTCAGCCGACAGTGATTTGACCCTCCCGTAATGCTCCCCAAACAGAAGACCTAACAGCAAACAGCAAGAACCCTGAGGGTCAACAAAGCATCTCCCTCCTGCTTGGGGGGGGGGGGGAGGCACCCAGGGTAATTGCTACAAGAAACACGTGATTCTTTTCCAAACAATAGAATTTTATTGAGTAACAAAAACACTGCAAAACAATTCTGGGCAAGTTAAAAGCAAATACATTAAACCCTTAAACGTATGGACCCGAGCTTAGCAGGGCAAAGAACATTTGCGTCCATTTTAGCTACACGTACAGCACCCGGGACTCTCCCAGTCGGTGTATGTGACGCTGTGGCTGTCCTGGATGTCCCCCAGTGGGGCGTGGTAGGGGGAGGGATGCGGCCCCTTGACTTGACCCTCGTATGAGTGGGGGACAGTTCTCAAGCCAAGACCTCCCCCTCGAGCCAGCTCAGTGTGACGAAGTGGGACTGTTCTTAATGTTTCCTCTGAATACAGTGTGGGTGCCTCAGTTTCCCCTATGCATTTCTTAAGTCTCCAGTGTGCATAAATGGCCAACAATCTGTATCCTAGCAACAAATGGCCAGGGCCCTTCCCCCCTTGCAAGGGAATAGCTAAAGGTGAACAATCAGGTGACCTCCTGGCCCGGGAAAAAGACAAAGGCGAGAAAGGAGGGGGTTTCAGTTTGGAGCTAGCTGGGGACGGGGAGTGAGTGCAGACGGGGGTGTCTGCCTCGCTAGGCCCCAGAATGGACCCGGCGGAAGGGTCTTGTTCTTTGTACCTACAAGCTCTGTTTTAGACCGTGTTCCTGTCATCTAATAAACCTCTGTTTTACTGGCTGGCTGAGAGTCACGTCTGACTGCGAAGTGGGGGTGCAGGAACCTCTGGCTTCCCCAGGACCCCGCCTGGGTGGACTCGCTGTGGGAAGCGCATGGAGGGGCATATACTGAATGCTCCCAGGAGAGACCCAGGAGGTGAAGCCATGTGAGCTTCTTGCCCTGAAGACAGTCTGCTCCGAGGGAGAGGAGGCTCCCCAAAGTCCTGACTGGCTTTGTGGGGAGCAGTCCCAGAGCATCGCCCGGGGACTCCGTGACACTCAGCTCTTCGCCCTGGGAGCTGCATCCAGACTGTGAGCAGCTCCCCTCTGAACCCACCAGGCAAAGTAGTCGGAGCTTCGCTAGTCTCTCCCAGCAGGGCAGGTTTTCCAGACCTTCCTGGCACATGTAACCCCCCTGGGACAGACCTGCCACTGACAAGCTGTCTGTGCAGGAGGGGGGTGCCAGGGTTAGAAAGCGGGGTGCTGGGAAGCACTCTCTGGGGGGTGAGGCCGACTATTCTCCAAGCTCTGCCAGGCAAAGTGAGTCTGCAGAGAACGGCAGGCAGGAAGGAGGCGAGGCCAAGCGGCCGCCTAAGATAAACGGAAAGCCCCAGCGCCCCTGGCCTGGGCTGGGGGCTGACACACATTCTTGTGGCCTAATTATCTCCTGTGAGGGAGCTGGATTCCAAGGGACAAGGCATCCTCAAAGAGGGCTGGGACTGGGACGCGTTCCAGAGCCCCACAGGGGGTGGGAGAGGAGCTGGGGGGCGAGGGAGGGGAAAGGGGAGGGCTGAAAATAATAATAATAATAATAAAACTTCCTGCGGTTGTCAGGAGAACATGGGCCAGAGATATAGGAAGCAATCGAGGGCCTTTATCGTGGAAACACAGACTCAGGGAGCAGGATTCCAGGCCAGCTGCGCGCCCAGCCTCGGAGCTGTCAGACGCCACATGTCAGCAGCAGCAGCCGCCGAGCAGCGGGAGGACTGAGTGTCCCACACCAGGCAGCACAGAAGCAGGGAAACGTGCGTGCGTGTGAAGTTCAAACCTGACCCTTTCAGCTGGGTAGGAGTAAGCCCCCTGGAAGGTGAGGATGGGAGCTGGGGGAACCCTGCTGTGGTTAGTGGGGGCTGCATGGGCCGTGCTGGCTCTGGGACTTGGTTCCCACCTGAAAGGGAAGGACAGCCTTGAGAGACCTCAGCACCAGGTGCAGCATGGGCCCTGCAGCTACACCTTCCTGCTCCCAGAGCTTGGGGGCTGTTACCCCTCCGCCGCCGAATACCAGGTCTCCAACTCGCTGCAGAGAGATGCTCCGCCCGTGCCTGAGCCCAAGTGGCCAGCCAAGCGGCTCCAACAGCTGGAGAACGTCATGGAAAACAACACACAGTGGCTGCAGAAGGTAAGATCCAGTCAGGGCCCGCTTGGATCGCAGTGGTTCTTGTATAGATTGCAGCAGTGCCCACAGCATGCCAGTCCCTTTCCAAACACAGGGCTTGGCCTGCAAACATGCAGCGTTGCCAACCTCCCGCTGGGATCGGAGAGTCAAACGGGGCTCCTTCTGCCTCTTGCATCAAGGGGCGACCTCTTGCAGCTTGCTCCCTTTCTGCTGCCGATGCACGAGCCAGGCTAGGACCCAGCTCGCTCTCCCCTAACTGCTGCCTTTGCAGCAGCAAAAGCGTCTTTGCGCAGTAATGTGGGTGGATGTGACTCAAGGCTGCACTGTCACTTTTCTGACCATAACCATGTGGCGCTGGCTTCCTCGAGAGGCTTTGGTCAAAGTCTGTGCCTGGGAACTGCTGTCTAATTACTTTGTTAAAGGGACCAAACAGGCTTCTCGCCTTGATCCAGACAGTCTCAGCATTATTGCAGGTAAGTTACCCCTATAGATGAGGAAAACAGTACAAGGGCTTGGATCATTTAAATGGGCAACTTCTTTATTGATCCTGGGAACCTAGCATCTCGCCTAATATTAAATACCCCTTTAAAATTGTTTAAAAGGTTAGATCTCTACTAGCCCCCTCCTGAGTGTGACATGCTTTCTGTCTCTGTTCTCAGACCCGTGTTCTGCTACTCGGCTGTGCCTGATGTTCTTTTACCGGCAGAGCCGGAGCGGAAAAATTCTTTTTCTGTTTTTCTTTCCAGTTATTTTAAACCCCAGGAAATCACAGTCACTTGGGTTCATGGGTCTCTCCTTTGCGAGCTGAGAGTTTGAGAGTGACTCTGGTACCAGTTACAGTGGTGTAAATCGGGAATAACTCCACTTACACCAGTGAACTGAAGTAAAATCAGTTTAGAAGCAATGTCAGAATCGAGCTGCATGGGTGAAATCCTGATCCTTTTGTCACTATTTCTGCCACTGACTTCTCTGCTGCCAGGATTCACCCCGTGCCTGCAGGGTATATCGGGCTCCTTCCAAACCCATAAATACCAATTGCTTCGCATGCAGATACCAGCCAGGCAGCAAAGGGCTTGTTTCCTTCCTCTTTGTTCCCAGGCTGCTCTGAGGGGCATGTGTCTAATTCAGACTACGTTACATCTCTTTCCAAAGACGACCTACGCAGGGCAGAACAAACTTCTTTACACTCTACCAAAGCAATAAGCAAATATTTGCACTAGGGGAGAATTTAATTAAAAATAAATCCCCCCAAATAAAAACCCCATCAGATCAAAGGCTGCGGGCATGTGAGCAGTGCAGGGGAAAGTGTCTGAACGTGATTAATACCGAGCATTATAACGCCCTTGTGTTAATACATATTCCTGTGCACTCACTGGGATTGCATGTAGTGCAGCATTGAGAGCAATGCTGTTTGCGGTGCCGGGGTCTCTGGATGAGACCTTAGCTTCCAAGGTCCTGCCAGCTCAGCATGGACTCTAAGGATTCCACGGGACGGGATTTGCCCCAGAATCCTTAGCTATGTCGCTTCTGTCCTAGCCGGGGTCCCTTGTGGCTTCCTCCGGAGTTGTGGCTGAATTTTCGTGGTGCTGTGTGCAGAATCTACTGCGTGTCGTTTGAGGACCCGTTGAAAGACAAGGGGCGGCAGCGACATAACCTGCAGGATTCTTGTGATTGTGCCATATGGAGGCACAGTCTGGGAAGCCGCAGCAGCTGACCCAGACTCCAGGCAGGCAGAAAACATGTGTCTGGGGTGAGGCAGCAGGGTTTTGTCTCTAGGAACTGGGGCGATTTAGGCGTCAGTGCCGCTGAACCTGATCTGCATGGAAAAGTCCCCTTCTGTCTTCCAGCACGTTACAGGGTCCTGAGGCTGCTGCCCCCCCAGGGGCTCAGGTCTTGATACTGCTTTTACAAACATGCCACACACTGAATGCGCAAGGAGGGCAGGGTGGACAGAGCCCGGTCTGGGTGGGAGAGGGTGCTCCCCAGCCTGTCCTGGCCCTCTGGCACTGCAGGGGTTAAATGGAGATGCACAGACTGTTAGGAAGTGGACTGGAAAACATTCTCCTCAGCTGTTTCCTTTCCCTGGACACCCAGATGTGTGTTTATTGCCCAAGAAGCCATGAATCATGTTGTCTGGGGCGGAAGGTAAACAGTGCTGATCTGGTTCCCTGCTGAGCGGGACCCAGCGTGGCGAGCGGAGCCAGGGGGCTGCTCCCAGGCACTCGTGTTTTCAGCCCTGCTGGGATCCAGCCACAGTTTCTCATGCAGACTCATCGGGGAAGCAGGATTCCTCCATGGCCAGCTGGGAGCAGGGGGAGCCCAGCCAGAGGCGCTCTGCCACAGGTTGCTGGGAAAGGAGACACGGTCTGGTGAATTGTAAAGCCTTAACGTGGTGGCTGAGCGAGGGGCAATGGGAGGGAACAGCAAAGAGGAATGCCAGGGGCTAGCTGGCTGCTCCGTACCAGGCCTCTCTCTGGTCGCTCGGACGGACTCCAATCGTATAGCTGGGATCGTCACCTGGAGCAAGATGCCCTGGGCTGGTGGCTTCATCGCCTGCTAAAGCCCCACCCTGGGGCCTCTCCTTGAGAAGGCAGGTGCTGACGTTAGGGCCTGTCTCACACCCCTGGGCGCTGAGCTGGACCGGCCATGTCAGCTGGACAGCAGAGGGAAAGCAGCAGCGAAAGCCCAGGTGTCTGGTATGGCCCACCCAGAAGTTCCCCTGCACTGAACTGCCAGCACCGCTGCCCTCAGTCTCCCATCCAAACGGTGACCCGGGGAGAACCTGCTTCGCGTCACCCCCCGGGATGGCTGCAAGCGGTGGGGGGGAAAACAGCAATTAGGGCCCAGCTGATCCAGCGTGTGAGGACCTGGTGCCAGCCTCCTCCTGACAGCCTCTGCTGCTGCGCTCCATGACCTGCTGATGGAATGTGGACACCACCCCGGGCGTACCGGGCGAGGGGCAGCTGGGGGTTCTCGGGCTCTCTGACAGCCAGTAGACACCACGGCGGATGCAAAATAGGATTGGCCGGTTCTGAGCCTCAGCAAAGTGCATCATCAGCCTCGCCAGGCGTGTCTGGGGGACGGTGCTCGGCAATAGCTCAGCTGCACCAAAAGGGAGCAAACTTCACTCCACCTGCTGGGCTCAAAGAGCCAAAGGCGGAAACCGCTTGGCACTGATGTTTCCCCGTGAGCCTCTGCTCAGTGTTTGCTCATGAAGCTCAGACACGAGGCTGTCGGCTCTTCCCTGCAAACATTTCCCCCCCAAATCTCCCATTAGCCTCCCTCCAAACCTCACACCGAGGCGCTTCGAGCGTGGTCTAGGCCCCTCGGAGAGGGGGCTACCTACCTCCGGGAAGCAATGATGGATGGGCTTGTGGGTACAGCGGTGCATTGGGACTCTGGAGATCTGGGTTCACTTGCTGACTCTGCTTCAGGCTTCCTCGGTGACCTCAAGCAAATCGCTGAATCTCTCTAGGCCTCAGTGCCCCATCTGCAAAGTGAGGATAACTAACAGGTCCGTTCCGAGAGCTCCCCGGGGCAGGGGCTGGCTCTCACTGGTGTATATACGGCACTCAGCACAATGGGGCTCCAAGCACTGCCAAAATAAAGCTGTGTGTGCCCACAGAAGGGAGTGATCGGTTTTGTGCAAGGAGCCCAGGTTTGAAAATCAGGCGTCTTAGCAACACAGGTAGGGGTGGGGTTCCTTCTGCAAGTCAAAAAAGGCCCGGCAGAATTGTCTGTCACTCAGCTGTGGAGAGCC